CCCATTCTTCTCATTTAAAAATATCTTGGCACACTACCACCACTATCACACTATCCTTTAAAATGAACATGCCCGCTTTTGGCCTCATCAGCCCTTTGCATTCTCAACTCTGGTTTATCTATCCATATTCCTCTCCGCTCATCAACAGCGCTGACTTACAGCCATCATGGTGGTTTCATAATGTGTATTTGTACCTCTCTTCCTTCTACAGCATATACTGCTTTACACAGTACAGGATGTTCACTCAGTTTTTTCAACCTCCTCAGTATCAGATTCCAGGCACTTTCTCTCAATAACAAAAATTTCTCCTGGTTCCTCACCTGTTGTGATGGCCCCCCAACCCCTCGGACAGGGCCTGCTAATCCAGCAGGAGCCTGGGGAATTGGAACACCAGCTGGAACGCCTCTGCCAGCTGCCCTGCCAACCCCAGGGCCCCCTGCAGCTCCAGCAAGTGGGACCCGAGCAATGCCAGTCTGAAACAAAAAAATACATACATACCTTGAAATCAAATTTATGAAAGCTATCTATCAAAAATCATTCCTAAATAATTACCTCTTTCCAACATTTTCCCATATCACCTATCTTATATGAGGTTCTATATTCAAAATAGCATCAAGAGAAGCATCCTACAGATTAGATGTACACTAGTCAAATTGGGAGTCCATATATTTTCACAATCCTATCAAGAGAAAACAAATTAGTAACTCCTACCCTTAACTAGATTGTAGTCAGCACATAGAATCACTCATTAGAATATGCTTAATCTCCCATTATAGATAAACAAGAACTTATATCAAGTGCCAGGAACATTTTGACAAAGGTATAATGTACTTTGTCTTTGTTGCATGCTCATTTAGCAAATAATTCAAATAATGGGATTCCCTCCCACATTAATGTTCTGTCCTGTCCTACATCTTTCTTACATCTTTGGGGGGTGGTCCCTCCACAGTCATGGAAACCAAGTTCTCCCCACGCAACAACACCAGACCCAAAACTCGCTTTTCTTCACGCTCTGGCTGCTTAGCATTCTTTGGCCTATAAATAGGAAGAAAATTTTAGTATGATAAGTTATGGATCGACTCACTAACATTTTTATAGATCATTATGTATCAAGACATTAATCCATGCCCAGACACTCATGCTCAGTTACTGAGTTGTGACAAAAACAAAGAAAACTGGACTCAATATGTAAAGGTGAGCTCTTTTCCTACCATACATCAAACTTCCAGAATATTCCCTCAATGTTATACTGTAGCAAAACTAATTTCTTCTTTGTGAAACACAGATGCAAATAACATTGCTAAGATTCTTTTAATAGTTGTTGCTATTGTTCAGCTGTTAAGTCATGTCCGACACTGCGACCCCAGGAACTGTAGCACAACATGCTTTCCTATCTTTCACTGTCTCCCAGAGTTTGTTCAAACTCATGTCCATTGAGTCAGTGATATCATCCAATCACCTCATCCTCTGCCACCTCCTTCTCCTCCTGCCCTCAGTCTTTTCCAGCATAAGGGTCTTTACTGATAGCAAAACTTGGAATTTTATCTTCTTCCTTCCAGTTTTACTGACATGTAATTGACAAACCGTACTGTATTAAGTTTAAGGTGTATAGCATAACGACTGACTTACTTCATGAAATGACTACCACAATAATTTCAGTGGACCTCCAACATGTCTTACAGATACAAAAGAAAAAAATGTTTTTCCTTGTGATGAAACTCTTTTAACAACGTTCATATATAACATACAGCACTGTTAATCTCATTTCTCATGTTGTGCATTGCATCCCTTGTACCTAATTATCTTAAAAATGGAAGTTCGTAATTTTTAACCACTTTCATCCAATTCACCCCACCACCTCCTGCCTCTGGCAGCCACAAATTTGATCTCTTTTTCTGAGTTTGTTTTTGAAGTATAATTGATACTACATTATTTTCTAATGCACTGCACGGTAATTCAATTATTTCTATTATAAAGAGATCATTATAAAGTGATCAACACTGGCTAAGACTTTGAAGATAGGCAACATTGAAACTTTTCATGTTAAGATAGGATTTAAATCATTTTTAACTAAATAAGTAAATATTGATGACAGACAACTGAAATAAGGGATGAGAACAGCAACAGGCAATGACAGCCTAATAGCAGACACCTGTTTATTCCTAGACTTACCACATACTATATTACCATGGGAAGTGGCTTCCCAGGTGGTGCTAGTGGTAAAGAACCCATCTGTCAATGCAGGAGACATAAGAGATGTGGGTCTGAATCCTAGAAGATGGCAACCCACTCCAGTGTTCTTGTCAGGAGTCTCATGGACAGAGCAGCCTGGCAGGCTATAGTCCATTGAGGTGGCAAAAAGTTGTACACAACCAAAGTGACTGAGTATGCATGCATATAATCAGGGGAAATCTTTTTGAAAACTTTTTGAACCTCTGTTAGTCATTTCCTCATGTGTTGGCAGCAAAATTCATGCAGCTTCTACCATATAATATAGATAGTGCCTTATTTAGGTGAAATTATCCCTAAAACTTACTGAAGAATGAGACATAAACTAAGGATATACCTAAAGCACTCTCAATTGTCTTTAGTATTTATCAAAGTTGTAATTTAAAATCCTTTTCAGTAAAAATGTAGATTATTTAAACAAAACCTTAACATTGATCATTAACTTAGCATTCATCATCTAGAATTTCTGAAATGATGCAACTTCATGTGCAGGATGAAAATTAAGAATAAATAAAAATGGAAGGACAAGGAATATGTTATGGATTCTATTAAGATTTAGAAGAACAGACATGTATAGCAGACAGGCAAAGCTCATCATCACTTTTCTCTTCATACAGAAAATTCTAAGTGAAATGGTCAAATTAAATTTTTGGACAATGTATCATCAACTGTGGGAACAGAAGAAAATCAAGCCAATGGTCAATGTAAATTCTGCCCCTAGATAATAGCCTGAAACAAAACCATTCTGAACATCTATAGATATTACAAGCACTGCCCCAAATACTCTGAATGAAAAGAAAATAGAGTATAATGCCTCTGGGATCTCCCTAGTGCCATGCTCTTATTGTTAAAGGAAGTTCTTCAAACACAGGTGCAAAGAGGGCAGTGTCGTAGGTAAGGCACAAGCATATGGAAGTTATTTCTGGACAAAAAGCATGGACAAACCCCCAAAACAAATGAGCAAGGGAGGTTAGAGGCTGACGCCAAGTCAACACTGACCACGCAAGTTCAGACAAAACAAGGGGCAGGCAAAGAGGCTGGCTGAACAACTGCTAGACCAGGCCTGAATTATTCTATTCTCATTTCAACTCCTCAACCATGAAGAGTAATTGTGACTCTTACGATTCCTTTGATCTCAATTTTCTAAATAAATATAAATTGTTATTCTAAGAGTAGCATTCAGCTTTTTTTCTCAGTTTTAGATCATAATTGTAGTTTCAAAATTAAAATAGTAGTGTGGATACAGTGACTCTAAAACTGGGAGATTCATCCAATTCAGAGCTAAGACCAGGACAGGACTGCCATTTTTCCTGCCTCCTTCAGGAGGTACCCTAACTACTTACTTTACCCTCCTTTACTGTTCTGCCTCTCCCTCAGGACCCCACTGCCCAAACCCAAAGTGGCCTTACTTGATCTTCCTGAACTCATCACAATCACAGAGGATCAAGTTCATATGCTTATCAAAAGCCTTAAAGGTGCCAATGAAGATACGACCATCTTGCAGGATACATCTCATCCTATAGTCAATGTGCTGCAGCATCTTGCTACTCTTTCCCACAGTCTGGAAGGAGTAAAATAAGAGTTAGTCATCACTTTGTCTGCAGCTACTTTCTAACTCTTTCCTGTTTCTTCCCTACTCCTATACCAATCCAAATTTGGCTGCTTTCTTAAGAAAAACATCATGCAGTCAATCTTTTCTTACCTTTAGGATACTAAATTTGGACCCAGGACCACTTATACTCCCCTATGGAATGGTTTACTATTCAGAATCCCTATGTAGTTTTCCATTGCCCTAAATATATGACATCCCCAATAGAATACCAAACCCAGTTCTCCCTTTTAGCATACCATCATTCTAAAACTCTGTCCTTTCCCAATTTGAATCCCAAGTCTCACTCACCTACAGAGTACTTGATCCTGAGGACTATTTCTTTTCCCACTAGACACCTAGACAATTGGTGGGAAATTCTTATCTCCATCAAAAACTTTGCAGTTTCCATCAACCCAATGTAAACACAATATATTATTTTTCAGTTCTCTTTTAAAGGCCTCTATCCTAGCTTACACCCCACCTCTTATATCATTCAGAACTTTCATCAGTGTTCCTCAAACTTTTAATTTTTTTAAAAGGTGCTACTAAGGCATCTTTTAAAAATATTTTCATCCCAAGTGACCACTCCACTGAAATTTTAATATGCAGAAATACCATACTGTGGACCTCTGGAAGACCCCAAACCACTGTAAAAATCTAAGATTATTTCTCATTCCTCAAAAACTATTGCTCAGTTCTTTTGGATATCCTTCCCATTAAGAATGTATGTTCTTGGTTACCTAAACTTAAACAGAATCACAAAATGGATCAGGATGCTGTATCTCTCTAGACTGCTTTCCTTTGTACCAATCAAGCCTCAGAGACCTCAATTTTTCTTCCCCACTGATTCCAAGCCTGTTCCTTGGCTGTGGTTTCGCTGGACCATCCATTTTCAAAGTAGACTTTTCAATCTATTGAAATCTGACCTCTTGAGTCTCTCATCTGCAGGTGATCCCTCACCACTGTAAATATGACCAAAAATTCTTTTGTTTTTCTTCACAATGCAAGATCTCTATAATGGGACAACATACATAGGTTTTCTCCAGTTTTTATTCAATGCAATGAGGTATAATCACTATAGATTAATTCCTTATTAAAAACCCCACAACACCCCACACTCTGGAAATCCAATATATTAAGAGAGTAGCTTCTCTCCCCTCGACCCTAATGAACATCTTACCATGATTGCTGTTCCACCAAATTCAATGTCCACAGGAAAGTTTCAGGATCCTTAAGACCTAAGGGAAGGCTACAGACAAAGGTATGACGCAGGTTCTCTTACAAACAATGCAAGCTGAGGCAGAAGCTTCAAATAGTAGGTGGAGCCTGCAGAGGAAAGCACGATCAAGCTGCACCACATCTACCATGGTTTAAAACAGGCAGAAAATCTTGCATGAAAAGTACTATTTGAGATAGTCAAAATCACCCCCTTTCACTCTTAAACCCACCAATTAAACACCAAACTTCACTATTTGATCACCTTATCTCCCATTTTTTGCACACCTATAAGTTACCAGTTTGTTGAATATAATTTTACACAGAAATTCTTAAAAGTTTCAAAAATAAGCTTAATTTTCTATTAATATTCCCAAAATGTAGTATTCTCTTTTTTCCATCCTTATTTTAAGGTGTTTGATTCTCTGGTCACAAATTAATACCAAGTAATCTCAACTTCAACATTTTGATATTCCTAAATTTCTCCATTTGAATTCCTCCTGAGTTAGGCCAGATTTTGCTCCTTGGCTAAACCACCTAAATGCTTTCAGCCTCAATGTTACCTCCCCGCACCAAGCCAAAGTCCCTTCAGAATAATGCTAGAAAATCTCTCTTCACTAATAATGTGATGCTTAAGATGTCCTTTGTTAAAAGGCGACATACAACTACTGAATGCTTACATGTATGTACAGTCAACTTTCTTAGTAATCAAAGAAACAAGCATTAGAATACTATCATGTCCCCCTGATATTCTTAAGAAAATGCTTCTAATAAGTATGAACCAAACCTAGCCAAAACTAGTAAGTGGTCTCAAACTTCTAATTATATTTAAAAAGCAAACACACACATTATGTTCTTTATGAATGGGAATTTGGTTTTACATATAAAAGTAACTCGGCATCATAAACAAAATCTAGTATAACTGTATTTTCAACAATGCAAACATTTCAAGTAAGATTGTTGTTTCCATTGTTTTCAGTAGAGAAGATTTACAAACAGTAAGCTGGTTAAGTAATTTACAATCATCTGTTTTCTTATGTGAAAATAAAATCGTTTAAATAGTGGTTAAGATCTATGGCATCATCAAAAAAAGAATGGTGTGTAAAACTATAATAGATTAGAAGAGAGTTTAATGAAATTATACAAATAATTCAGTAAGGATGGTAAAATGTAGAGGCAGTATTTCCCTACAATTAGCAAAATTTGGTGTCAGTTCAATACATTTTAAAGAGAACTTGGAGGGTATTAGGTTTTCTAAATAAAATAAAATAAAATGACCATTACTCAGAATCTCTCTCCCAAGCTTTGTTCTCCACATGCAAACTGCCATGCATCCTTTGTGCAGCTTTTTCTGTAAGTCAATCCTACCCTCAATAAATGTAGTTTCTTCTTTTCCAATCTGGATTCATTCCTTTTTCTTCTCAGACTGCTATGGCTAGGTCTTTCAAAACTATGCTGAATGATAGTGATGAGTGGTGAGAGTGAATAATAGTGGTGAGCTTGGACTCATCTTATTACTGAATTTAAGAGAAATGCTTTCAGTTTTTCACCACTGATGATAACATTTGTTCTGAGTTGGTTATATATGACCTTTATTTTGTTGAGGTGTGTTCCGTCTATGCCTACTCTCTGGTGAGTTTTTACCATAAATGGGTGTTTAATTCTGTAAAAGGCTTTCTCTGCATCTACTGAGATGGTCATGTGATTTTTATCTTTCAATTTGTTAGTATGGTGAATCATATTGACTGATTTCTGTATACTGAAGAATCCTTACATCCCTAGATAAAGCCCACTGTTGGATTCTGTTTGCTAGCACATAGCTGAGGATTTTTTCATCTATGTTCATCAGTAATTGGCCTGTAATTTCCTTTTTTTGTGGCATCTTTGTCTGATTTTGGTAACAGGGTGAAGGTAGGGGACTTAAAATATCCCACTCACACCAATGGACAGATCATTCAGACAGAAAATCAATAAGGAAACACAAGTTTTAACTGATACAATGGATCAGTTGGACCTAATTGCTATCTACAGCATTTCATCCAAAAAAAATAGACTTCACTTTTTCCTCAAGTGCACATGGACCATTCTCCAGGATAGATCACATCTTGGGCCAGAAATCAAACCCTTGGTAAATTTTAAAAAGTTGAAATCATTTCAAACATCTTTTCTGATAAAGCTGTAAGATTAGGTATCAACTACATGAAAAGTACTATAAAAAAACACAAACATATGGAGGTTAAACAACATGCTTCTGAATAATCAACATATCACTAAAGAAATCAAAAAGGAAATCAAAATACATCTAGAAACAAATGACAATGAAAGCACAACTCAAAATCTATTGGATGCAATAAAAGCAGTGCTAAGAGGGAAATTTACAGATATACAAACCTACCTCAAGAAAAAAGAGACATCAAATAAACAACCTAATGTTACACCTAAAGTCAACTAGAAAAAGAACAACAACAACAACAACAAAAAAGAAACCCAAAGCTAGTAGAAGGAAAGAAATCACAAAGATCAGAGAAGAAACAAATGAAAAAGAAATGGAAACTACAGCAAAATTCATTGCAAAGCTGGTTATGTGAAAAGATAAAACTGATGATCCCATCAAGAACAAAAGGGAGAAGACTCAAATCAATAAAATTAAAAATGAAAAAGGAGAAGTTATGACAACACAGAAATACAAAGGATCATAAGGGAATAGTATGAGCAATTACATGCCAATAAAATGAACAAGTTGGAAGAAATGGAACCAATTCTTGGAAAAGTATAACCTTCCAAACCCGAACCAAGAAGATACAGAAAATATGAACAGACCAATCACAAGCATGCAAATTGATATTGTAATAAACAATCTTCCAACAAACAAAAGCCCAAGGCCAGATGGCTTCACAGGCAAATTCTATCAAAAGTTTAGAAAACACCTATCCTGCTCAAACTCTTCCAGAAAATTGCAGAGGAAGGAAAACTCCCAAATAAATGACATTTTAATGCAAATTCACATGAAAAGTTTCAGGCCTATAATTTAAATGTTCTGAATTCTGACAGGATTCTCTAAGAGCAGTCTGTAAATTCAGGAAACCTTGGTATATGTTTGAACCACTAGCAATTTCCATTTTTATGATGGTATAGCTAAGATTTAAGATCTTCAGCAATCCATGGAGACAGAAAGTAAGTTAAGTGGTTATCCGAAATAGGGGGTGGAGTTGGGGAATGCATTAAATGGCACAAAGGGATCTTACTCGGGCAACAGAAAACCCTAAAAGGACGTGCGGCAATGGCTATAACGGCAACCTGCTTATAACTGGGCAAATTCTATGGTATATAAGACATACACCAATAAAGCTGTTCTTATACAGTAAATTGTCTGAACCATCAAATAATCTTCAGAGTTCCTAAGATTATATTTAATATTGACATTAGTGCCTTCAAAGAACAAAAGCAGCTGAATGTTCCTGGCGCTTATTCCCAAAGGGAGACATGCTAGTAGACAATGAGCCACAGACAGTGATTACCAGGGGGAAAAACAGGACTGTATATGACTTTTCAAAATTTCACTTATAGGAAAGAAATGTAATCTCAGAAAGGTTTCTGAAATAAAGATTAATATAATAGGCTTCCCTGGTGGTTCAGACAGTAAAGAATCTGCCTGCAATACAGGAGGCCTCAGTTCGATCCCTGCATCAGGAAGATCCCCTGGAGAAGGGAATTACTACACATTCCAGTATTCTTGACTGAAGAATTCCATGGATATTGCAGCACAGTGGGCAATAGTCCATGGGGTCGCAGAGTCAGACATGACTGAGCAACTAATGCTTTTACTTTTCAGTGGGAATCAGTATCAAATGTGCATTTAAGGTGGAAATTTGTAGTCAGTCACCTCTCCAATGAAACTTTATAATTCAGAGACAGGGATTTTACCTTCAATGCCAAAATATTTCAGAGTCCAGATGTCCCAATCAGACACATTCCAAATGTCTTATCCTGCTTGGCATTTCAGTGAACACATACCAAACCACGTTCATACAGCTTAGCTATAGATCAACAAATGCAAACAAAGATTTCCTGGTATAGTGGATCAGAACACAAAAGGAAGCCAGTCAGGCCTGTATCTGTCCATCTAACCTGCCTGAGGTTAACTCCTCCCACACCCACTATGTTGTTACCATGTATAAAAATGCATCTGGGGATTTGAGTCACGGACTAAAGAACTGGGGACATAAATATGTAATATGAATAAAATAATCCATCCTAATAGGAGATAACATTTCACTCAGAATAGGGGTTGACTAATTGGAGAGGTTAAGAATGGGCTTCTCTTAATGAGATGGACTTGAAATTTCTCTCATTCCTAAATTCAGCATACTATCATCATGAATCCTTGTGAGGGAAAGGAGATATATTACTTTGTAGAATGATCAAATGTTATCTCCACAGCAAAGAAGAATAAAATGCTTTAAGAGGGAAAAAAACAAGAGCAGCAATGTTACAATGCACTAAGGAATTAGCAGTTACCATAAATTTCCTGGTGAAAGCAGACATAAACAAATAAATGGTCTGGGGGCCTGACTATATCCTGGGACTTCTCAGGAAGAAACGTTCTCAAACTTTTGAAAAGGGTGGACTTTGAAATGATTAAACTACGTAAATATGTAAAGCTTCCTTAAATCAAAAGATCTGATGGTCAGACTTGGCCAAATAACATACAAAAAATGAGAAGTCACAGAATAATGGTATAGTGTTAGTTCCCATTCACCTGTAAAACAGGCCCTTCACAGAAAAAAAAAGTGCAAAAAGTCTAACATGAGAAACACAAGTAAGCGGACACTATTAACCACAAATCAATGCCAGTTAAACCAGAGGAAAACAATTTTTCCATTTTGGAAAGTGTTTACTTATCAAAGGGGCAAAAAGAGACATCAAAGGTGGTACTAAGAAATTACCACTGTGTAATTATTCTTGAACTTTTGAACTGTGGTGTTGGAGAAGACTCTTGATAGTCCCTTGGACTGTAAGGAGATTCAACCAGTCAATCCTAAAGGAAATCAGTCCTGAATATTCAATGGAAGGACTGATGCTGTAGCTGAAACTCCAATACTTTGGCCACTTGATGAGAAGAACTGACTTATTAGAAAAGACCCTGATGCTGGGAAAGATTGAAGGCAGGAGGAGAAGGGGATGACAGAGGATGAGATGGTTAGATGGCATCACTGACTCAACGGACATGAGTTTGAGTGGACTCCGGGAGTTGGTGGACAGGTAAGCCTGGTGTGCTGCAATCCACAGGGTCACAAAGAGTCAAGACATCACTGAGTGACTGAACTGAACTGAATTATTCTCGATGGTAATCAATACTGCTTATGATGTTATTAGAAAGGAATGTAACAAAACATTTAAGAACTTACTAATTTTTATACCCTGCATACCCAAACTGAATCCTCATCCTAGTAACTTTAAAATACCTAATATACAGTATCTTAAAACTGCAGAATATTCATAATAGCATAGCAAACTAGGGGGAAAAAAACACAAATACAAAGGAAAAGTAAATCATGAAGGGACCATCATTTATTCATTACAAATGCTATTGAGGATTATGTAATAAAATGAAGGAACATTAATGGTATACATAAGTAGAATAGTTTAAAAGCATGATTACAACTATGTTTTCAAAAGAAAAGCAAATGGGTAAAATGAAAGAAAATTTTAAAAAATGCCACTATGGTTGAAACATGGCTATTTAAAATCTGTGGTTTACTTTCCCATTTTTTAGGCTATCACTCATATGCTTTACATTTTTATAATGAAAAAGAAAACATACCAATTGTTTAAATGTCTTCACCCACTTACATGTATAGCAGACTTTAACAAGACCCTTATCACCAAATTCATCTGATTCTCTACTCTGTACTGTTTACTTCATCTACTCTCCTTATCATGCCTTTCCCTTTGCCACATTCTGTGGTACCAACACTCCACTACTGGCTCCACCTTGTTTTCATCTTTGAAAGTGGTTCTCTAAGAGACTAGCAGACTTTTTCTTTTAAAGGGAAAGATAATAAATATTGTAGGCTTTGCCTGTCATTCAATCTGTCATGAATACTCCTATCTGCCACCGTACTGTCAATAATATCCACAGGCCATATGTAAACAAATGGATATGGCTCTGTGCCAACAATATTTTATTTATAAAAGCAGGCAATAAATGATATTTTATCAACTCCTGCTGTAAAATAATTCTAGTAGCTAGTACTATTTAGATGAAACTAGCACTTAAAACTTAGAAAATTAGATTACTCTACTTGCAGATCATAATTATGATTTAAATAACACTATACAGGAACTTTGAAGAGTATCTAAACTATAAGGGCCAAAAAATTCTTGGTTAAAAGATCAATGATGCACACTTATTCATGTAAAAATGTTCTTACTCTGGGGGACAGCTGAGGACAATTACCAGATTCCACTGTCTGAAATCAATTCTACTATCTTACAATCAAGTCCAGGCAATTACTGGAGAATGCTGGGTAAAGAATTCAGTAGGGGAGGATTTTTCCTTTTGAGATGATGGCCATAAACAAGCCTAATAAATTTGAGTTTCGGGGTTATACTTTGAAATAGAAATAAAGAAAATCTAGAAGAAAACTCATCTATAAACTTCTTTCCTCTCTTAGCTTCTGAAAAGTCCATATTAAACCTTTTGAATTTAGGTCATTGAAATCTTAAACTTAAAAAAAAGAAAGGAAAAATGAAGCATTTAATCAAAACTAATTGCAATTTCCTAAAAATCTAAGCAACTGACACAAAATGACACTGTAAATAAATCTATGTAACATTGACAAATCATGGGTTAATAGTTTTGTTACACTGTCAGATGATTCAAACAAATGAGTAACAAAATATGAGAAAAGAAAACAAAAAATAACTAGGAAATAAGCCTGGGAAAATATTTAGCTTCTCATCTGTTAATGGATGTGATGTGTATTTCTAATTTAATAGAAATAAATTATATGTAATTGACATAATTAATGCAGATGAAAGTGTACCTGGCACTATACTTTCTCATGGCAATAAAGACAAATAATTCGTAATACAATTTAGAACATGAACCTTAATTCAAATTCCTTGACTTATTTTTAAACCTGCATATCCAAGGAAATGATCCTATCTAATGTTTTACAAAAAGCAATTCACTGAAGCTTCATTTCAAACTACCAGCAGAAAAAAAAAGTTCTCTCAGAAAGGAATTATAAAACATATTAGCAGGATATTCAACAACTATTTATAATGAAATACTTTTCTTATGTTAAGGTGAAATGCAGTACAAGTTAAATATGAATAAAACTAACTAAAAAGCAAAGACTACGTTGTCTAGAAAGTAACTCATGACAAAAGTCTTTCAGGGTGAAAGCATTAAGGTACTGCTTTTACTTTTTTAAACATTCTGCTATGTGTTTATACTTGTATCAAGCCTTTAAGAAAAAATAATTGAATATATCCAAAATAATTAAATGATCTCCAAACATCCTACCCTTTAATTAATTGTTTAATCCTGATCATGATTTCATCAGCTATAACCTGTTTTTATTTTTCTCTTGAAATCAGCTACCTTGGTGTTCCAATACTGCTTTAACCACCTCTTGGTGTCTCAGCTAAGAATGCCTGTCTCAGTTCTGCCTGGAAATCCACCACAGGTACTTGCTGCTGCTGAGATCGCCTCAGGTACAGGTGACACCTAAGACAAGAGCACAAAACACATAAATGAAAAGACATTTGCCTAAATAGTTAACAATGTGAACATAAAAACACCCTTACATCTAATCCTCATCAAGGTTCAGAGCATACCATTACATTATGAACAAATTATAAAAGAGGAGACTCTGCACATAGGAATGTATAAGAACTGACAGATACTTACCCTCTTTGGTGATATTACGAAAGAACTTAGAAAAAAGAGCCCTTTTGGTTTAAAATGCCTTATAAAAGAACCAACAGTATAATAACCATTTCTAATCTGGAAACAACTCTTTAAACCCTAGGGAGGTAGGGGGTAGGAAGGGTTAAGGCATTTCCAGTGAGACATTTTAACACAGTTATTTATGCTGACAAGAAGTTACTAACTGAAACAAAGAATTTCCAAGCTACTTAGGTTCTCAGACTATGTAAATCTAGCATCCTTTAGTTATCAGGGAATTCTAGAAAAATACTCAACATATTCCTACCTATGAGTAGGACTCTATCTGGCCATGAATCTGATCCCAAGGATAAGAGATACAGGAAATTACACAGGGTTGCTGGCTAACAAGACAAACATAAATAAATCACCACCCAACAAATTGCCTTCGTTGGTATGTGCTTGCATGCTAAGTCACTTTAGTTGTGTCCAACTTTTTGTGACCCTGTGGACCTCAGCCCACCAGGCTCCTCTGTTCATGGGATTCTCCAGGCAAGAATACTGGAGTGGGTTGCCGTGTCCTCCTCCAAGGGATCTTCCCAGGGATGGAATCCACTTCTCTTACTACACTAGCAGGCAGTTGATAAGTACATATGTATGAAAATATTCAGTAACAGCTAGAATTGAAAATGGGACTGTGATAAATGGTTTTCCACTATTTCTATACTTTTAAAATAAGATTTTTAACTGCAGTGCATGGGGTTGCAAAGAGTGGGACATGACTAAGCAACTGAACAACAACATAAAGAATCAGGCTAGACTTTGTTCATGGTTCCTAGGAGGTAATCTCTAATCCTTTGAGTTTAAAAAGTGATAGGAGTGTCTTTGTTATTCTTGGTGGGCCTCTGGGATCACACCAGAGTTAAAGCTAACTAGATGGTTCAGATTAAAAGCTGGGCTTAGAGAACAGAATATTTATACTGCTTACCTGTTCCTATAATCCACCTATTATCAAAGTGGACAAAGGTGGTTGGAGAAATTATATTATTTTTCTAACTCAAAATTACCCTCAGATTCTAGTTCAGCACCTCCTAGTATTTATACATAACATATACAATAGACATCAGGAAAATGAAGTTGTCTCTTCTTCAAAAGCAATAAAATATTTCCATAGATATGGACAAATGAATGAAACCTAAAGCAGGCTTTTAGAATATTAACATATGACTGTTATACTGATGATTCACACTGATGTTACACTGGATAAAGGCTCTAATAAAATATAACAAATGTAATAGAAACTTTACTCACTAACAAAGATCCTCTCCCAAGAAATCCCCTCCACCCATACCTCTGCCACAGTCTCTAATCTATTTCAAGTTCTTTCTAGAGATTCTGGGAAGGAAAAAAAAATGGCATTACCATATAAAAGAAAGCAGGCAAATGCCTATCATAAATGATAAGTTATATAAAATATTCACTCAAAGTATTCCTTTTCAAAATTTAATAAAGGAAAGAATAATGAACTCTGCAGAATAAGTAAACAGACATGGGAAAATGGAGAAATCTTTCGCCTTGCCAATAATTTTAAATATGCAAAATACTGAAATTTTTCCATACATTAAACGAGCAAATAACTAAAATAAGATATAAAATGCTACCCACGTATAATAATTTCTGTAAAAAACTTCATATTTGAAGAAATGAAATAAAATACAAATAAATATTAGTAACAGTTGACCCTTAAACAAGAGTTTGAATTGTGTGATCTACTTATACATGTTTTTTCCCCCAATAAATATATTAGGGATTTTTTTTTGGAAATTTCTGACAATTTGGAAGAACTTGCAGACAAACCAGAGCCTAGAAATATCAAAGAAACAAAGTTAGGTTTGTCATGAACACATAAAATATATGCAGATACACATTTAATATAAAAATGTTGTCAGTCAACTGTCTATATTATCAGTAAGGCTTCTAGTCAACAAGAGGCCATTTATAGTTCAATTTGGGGGGACTCAAAAGATACATGGGGATTTCTGCCTATGTGGGGGATTGCAACCCAACTCCTTCATTATTCAAGAGACAAGTGTAGTATTAATTTTCAGATTGACCGCTCCTTTCTTCACTGCAATAACTAAGAAATGCAAATAACCTAACTATCCATTAGTAAGATAATGATAAATGTTATTATAGAACGCCTGACATGGAAAGACTCCCAAGGCATATTGTTACAGAATAAATCTTATGTATATAAACAAACATGCCTCCCCACACACACACACTCAATATATGTATACATGAATTCATATTAAAAGGTCTGAAATGATAAGAGATCAAAGTACCTGAGGATTTATCTTTGAGGAGACACAGGGAGGGGAATGGACTAGTGATATTTGATACTCACTGTGTATCTCAAAATTACATATTTTATGAGAAAATTATATTCATATATTAGTAACAGCAATACAATTTGAAAATTATTGCTTTAGGAAAGAAAAACAATTTTACCACTGATAACTATCAAGATTTGTGGTAACAACAAAATGCACAAGACCCAATGTAGATTCAGTATGTGTCATGTTGTTGTTATTGTTTTAGCTGCTAAGTTGTGACTATTTAGAAATGTTAATATAGTTTTAATTGAAATGCTCCTTCTAGAAACACATTCATATCCTAAATTAAGAGGAAAATGTATACATTTCAAATGCACTAGCTAAAAAATTCTAAAGATTGCAGAGCAAACATGAACACATAAATTTACATCTCTTCAAAGCATATAACATTTGGCAAGCACAACAAAAGTGTAACAAATAATAAAGCAGAAACAATTTTAATATAAATATGTTGAAGGAGGTAGAACTTTATGAACATACCGTGTTACCTACACATGTATACAAAAAAGGAAATACATGTCACTAAAATTTTAGCAAAAGTTAAGTTAGGACAACATGGTTATGGATGATTTAATTGCTTTTTTTTACTATATCAATATAACATGCACAAGCTTCTTTTATTAATTAAATTCATTTAAATTCCCTGTGGCAGGATAGTTTGTTCCAATTTGAAAACACCCTAAACTGGTTCTCAGGGCCTGACTGTACTCACTCCTGGTTGCTCAGTGAGGCTGTCCTTCTACGTTTGACTTGGACTTCCACCTCTGGCACGTGCTGTTCTGTAGTCCGTCTCAAGTGTAAACGGTCCCTGAGGTACAAAGAGGATTTGTTTTACAGACTTCATCAATTTCTGAAATAACCACTTACTTAAAGATTATACATATATCTAGTAAAATGGAATTTTTAAACTCCATCTAAGCTAATCTAATTAAAGCAAGGTATGGTGATATATGCCAATTACAAATCAATAAAACAGACAAAGGCAGAATTAAATATTAGAAGATCTTTATCCATCAAGGATCAGAATCTAGCCCAAAACTACTTTCTCCCTTTAGATTCCCTTTGATATCAGATAACTTCAAAGGAAAAATATCAAAAAAGTAAGCAAATCTGTGTATTCCTACATATACTCACATATACAGATATAACACTATATATTTACAGATATATTTACATACAAGTAAATGTACATATCCCTGAAAAAATGACAAAAATGATTTGAAAAATATTTTATTATCCTTCTATATAGTGGAATAAAGTATAAAATTTAAATTACAAAATGTCTATTTAAGTAATCTCGTGTGAATGGTTCCTTATTAGGACTTGAGAAACAATAAATTTTTTAAATGCTTAAAAAAAAAAAAACAACATAGCACTGACAGTATAATCTGCAGAATAGCTCACAAAATGGCTGCTCAAGGGATCTGAACAGGAAATCTGTTCGGCACTTGGATCACAGATTAGAAACTACAGGAACTGAAATTTTAAAATGTCAACTCAAAACAGAGATAAGGAAATGCATTTTACACAAGTCATGCAATATAATAATTCACAGGCAGATTTCAAAGGACACATTCCGAAAGATTATTTCCTGAACCCATACTATTTTACGTTTCATATTAGATTATGCAAAATAAACAAAATAGTTTACCAATAATCCCGATTTGCTTCCAAAACTTTAATGTTCTAATCAAGCAGTAGAAAAGGTCATTTAAAAAAAAATACTTTTGCTAATCTCCTTGACCTTTGGACCTTTGATTAGGTAATATTTTCTTAGATTATGACACCTAAAGTACCTAATGGAGAAAGGAATTCATAGCATTTCACCAAAAGTGAAAAGTCTGCTTCAAAAGACACTTAGAAAAACAATTAGAATCATGGGAGAAAATATATGCAAATTATATATGGGATGAAAGTCTTTTATCCAAAATATATCAAGTATTAGTATTAGTCGCTCAGTCGTGTTCGATTTTTTGCGACCCCATGGACTACATGTAGCCCACCAGGCTCCTCTGTCCATGGGATTCTCTAGGCAAAAATACTGGAGTGGGTGGCCATTTCCTCCTCCAGATATAAAGAACTCTAGAGAGATATAAAGAACTGTTACAACTCAAAAATATGGTAACAAAACTCAATTTTAAAATGAGTAAAGGGGGAGTCACTGATGGCTCAGTGGTAAAGAATCCACCTGCCAATGCAGAAAACACAAGTTCCATACTTGGTATGGGAAGATCCCACATACAGACCATGAAGCTGCTAAGTCCCTACACCACAACTTTTGAGCCTGTGCTTAATAGGGCCTAGGAACAGAAACAACTGAAGCCCAGATGCCCCAGAGCCAGCCTCCACAAGAGAAGCCACAGGAAGGAGAAGACCTTTCACTGCAACTTAAGAGAACAGCCCCAGCTCACCACAACTAGAGAAAAGCTTGTGCAAAAATGAAGACCCAGCACAGCTATAAAATAAATAAATGAATTACAAAAAATAAAATGAGTAAAGGACTCAAACAGATCGCTTTCCAAAAGCATAAAAATTTCCCTTAACACAAGAAAAGATGCTCAATATGAGGGCCATTAGGAAAACACAAATCAAAACCACAAACACCACTTCACACCACAGGAGTAGGATGTGGAGAAACCGGAGAAATGAAAAATTAAACAACCCTGGCACTTCTTAAAAATGTTGAGCATATTAACATGTGACCTAGTATTTCCACTCCAAACTTGGAGTGAAATAAAAACTCAAACTTGAACTTGAAAGTTCCTAGCAGTGTTAGTTGTAATAGCCAAAAATAGAAATAACCCAAAGTATAAATGATGAATGCATAAACAAAATACGGTGTGGTATGGTATCTCATACAATGGAATATCATTCAGTCATAAAAAAGGACGAAATACTGATACACAAGATGGTAGTTTCAAACATAGTTACTAATACATTAATACAGTAAAAGGAATTATAAACCTCTGCTTTGCCATAGACCTCTGCTTTATCATAGACCACCCATTATTAATGGAAGCTTAACTGAGAACACCCCATTATCCATCCCACCCCTCAGAAAAAATCTTCAGTTCCTTTATGTAACCTGAAGGTCTGTGTTCAATTGAGAAAAGAATCAGTATATAAAGGTATTTTTTTTTAATTTTCAAAGATTTTTAAAGCTACATGCAAAATCAGTGATGAGTAGCTTTATTTTGAACTTTGTTCTAAACACACATATGTACATTTGTAATGTCCCTAACTGCATTTCCAACTCAGAAGCCGACATTTCAGAAAATCCAGCATTTAAGGAGAAAAAAATGTTACATGTACACAATGTTAATTTTTCACTCCAAAATCCCTTTCACTAAAAAATTAATACTAATCTGGAAATATGGGCTTCTCAGATGGCTCCATGGTAAAGAGGCCACCTGTCGAGCAGGAGACTCTGGTTCAATCCCTGAGAAGATCCCCAGGAGAAGAAAATGGCAACCAACTCCAGTATTCTTGCCTAATAAATCCCATGGACAGAGGAGCCTGGCTATCATCCATGGATTCCAAAAAAAGTCAAGACATGAGTTAGCAACTAAAACAAAAACAAATTTGAAAATATACTGAAAAAGCAAAAGATGATGAGATATGATAAGGTTTTTTTCCTGTCTAATAGTCTATCAAATATTCAGGATTCCTTACACAGCCCCCCCCCCCCGCAAAAAGTAATAACTCAATGACTAAGACCTCAAGAATGAGAAATAAAAAGATAGTGTGAGGTAATGCCAGGGTGTGAATTCCCCACTAACATGCAAATCAGTGCCTCCAAAAACAAAACCTTTAGAATCAAAGAGAATTCTGAGCCAGCCAGCACCCAGGAACCAGAAAATAAAACTTCTCTGCCCACCCTTATTAGTGAAGTATGATGCCTTAACCATCAACAACTCCTGTTCAAAGTACCTTGCCTTAGAAAACAACACATAGTCCTTGCTCTAAACTTCAGACAGGTCTCATATTCCTTCCCCATTCTTAAAAAGCTGTGGTACTATGCCAAATATTCCACAAGGCAGGACAGAGACCTTCAAACTTCAGGTCTTTCCACAGGGTCCGCCATATTGAGGTCCTAAGTCAGAGGGCAAGACTACAAAATGGCGGACCAGGATGATGCACTCTCATCTCGCAAAGGGCCAAATGATCAGATGTTCATATTTGAAGCAGTATCTTCCTACAAGCAAAAAAAAAAAAAAAAAAAATGCAAATCATAAGTATCACAAAATACCAGAGTCCTGCTATTTTTCAAGCTACTAGAAAATAAACAATTCCAGAACAAAGCTTCCAAAGCTTAATTTACATTTCCCTTAATTACATTCTAACTGGGCACAAAAGCAGGCATACTGTTTGTGATAAATGAGTAAAAAAGGCAAGCACATCAAAATTCTGCAAGGAAAATCCTTAAAAATGCCCCCAAAATCAAAGTATGGGAATAGTAATACAATAGTCATGATACAGGAATAGTTACTTTGTTAATTACCCCTTCTCAGTGAATATTCATAGCAGCTCCAACTTCAAAAAAAATGGAACAAAAATAATAATTAAAAAATCAAGAGGAAGGGGATATGTACACACACAGCTGAAGACATGAGCAACTGTGAAGTTGCTGTACAGCAGAAACTAGCACAGTATTGTAAAGCAAATATATTCCAAATTTTTTAAAAAGTCCAATCAAGGGCAAGAATTCACTAATCCCAGATAAACCTAGGACTCACATTCTACATTTTTCTCTGCCGTTCTCCTTGAACAAACAACTCATAGACCTCAGTTCCTAAGTCTTAGAGGAGCCTTGATCCCCTGATTTAAGGAAATTATAAAGGTAACATCACCAATGGATTATCTAGCGATCAAGAAATAGGACAGTCAGGTAAGGAAAATGTAGCTATGGAATTATATAATCTAGAAAACTCTAATAAGAGATGAAAGGAATGAGTTGTCTAAAAGGCTAACTGAATCCACTTAATACAGCAAACAATTAAGACTGCTCACAGTACCACCTAAGGCAAATGAGCAAAACTGGAAAAGCTCCTGCACCAGTGATGGAGGCTGTCTTTTAAGTAGCATAGTGAATCCCAAAATGCACTCACCTCTCTTGGCCTCCAAGCCCTCACCTCTCCCTCAAGAGGTAGGAGAAGGCCAAGGGCACAGTGCAGCTGCCCTGACATTTCAGGCAGGCACAGGATGGAAAAATTGTGCAACTCTCTGGCCTACCTGCTCCACTCCATCACGGCACTGCAGGGAAGGGGTGACTTACAAGCCAGAGGCTGTGCAAACCTGTGTCCTTCCTCTCCCAAGTCCACTCCAGCAGAGCAGGGAAGGGACAGGGACGGGGCACGTAAGTGTAGGCGGTGGCGAGCCGCCCCGCACAGTGGAAACTGCACAAATCCCCTCCCCTAGTGCACGTCAGAGGCGGTGTCATCACTGACGTGCCTGCGCACCCCGAGCCCACACCTTCCGTACTGCAGCACCAGGGTGCGGCAGCCGCCCCCGACTCCCAGGTCCGCCTCTCCCTCTTAGCGCACAGCTCTCTGGAGGGCGCGGCCGACCCCCCGCCTGGAGGCGGCAGGACCGCTCCTCCCCCACTGCGGCACCGCGGGGAGGGCCGCGCTCCCACTCCACGCCTGCCCAGAACCGCACAGCTGCGGCGGCCGCCATCTTCGCAGAGCCGCACAAAGGTTGTGACGCGACACCGACCGCCACGCTCCTGAGCTGGCCTTCGAAACTCATTCCAAACACAGGGAAAACGCATGTGAACACGAAACGCCTCTGGCTGTCACATACCAGAACCTGGCAGGTCCCCAAAAAGATGCATTAGATGGTCTCTGAATTACACATCCTTCCTCTTACACCAAGCTCACAAATGTGAGATAGTTAAAGGAATCAAGTACATGAGGACTGGACATTTTTGCAGCCACCCCTTCAATTTAGGGACAGGGTAGTTTTGCCACGCTATTCAAACTCTAAAAGCACTGCCAGTCACGAGAACACTGAACAGTTTTCTCCCTGTCTTCAAACAGATGGCCTCCTCCACCTGCGTGCCCCCACCTGCTCACACTCTCACTCTTACCAGTGTCCAGACGACCACGCCGCAAGACTGCTTTGTCGCGCCCCCACTGCCACTCTGCAGCCCCAACGTCGCCGGCACCCCACCAATCCCACATACCGAGGCCACAGAGGGATCCCACCACACTCTCGTGGCCCACTTCACCCCCCACGAGCAGCACGGTCTTTCGGCCGCCCCCTCAATAGCCGCCACCATGGCCACCCCATTCCCCCCTCCTCATCACTGCCGCGGGGCCCACCCCAACCACTCCCTCCCGCTGATGCCACACATCAGCGCCTCTGGACGCGGCACCTGCTGCCGCCTCACGGCCGCTGTGGACACCGCTGACCCCGCCCTCCCCTGACTGTCGCATCGTGGCCACCCGCGGCCATGGCCTCAACCACAGAAACAAAGGGCCACCCCAGAGAGTCTGAGGGGGCGCAACATGAAGGTGCAGATACCCCCGAGACCTGACAAGACACGGTCGGGAGAGTCACTCCAGCCCCAAGCCTCCAGAAGTTGTTCCATCCAGCCACTGGACAAAGAACTTGCTTGCCCAGATCCCCAGTAAATACTGAAATACTTCTAGTTCTGGAAGCTCAGGATGATTAAAAAAAAAAAAAATGTTGCCCACCACGCGGCTGACCTGGCCCGCTCCATTGCGCCGCTGGCCGCTCCTCAGAACAGAACGTCACGCATCTCTGACTGGCAGACCGCGCTGCGCTCTTCTGCCGCCACGGCACCACTCCGCGGACTCCGCCTGCGCACGCGCGGCAAGCCGCCCCGCTCCCTGCGGCCGGACTCTGCCGCGCCTGCGCAGTCTGTCTGCCGCAGTGGCGCGGCTCTGCGGCACTGCAGGTGACGCGGGCCTTCCCAGGCAGGGAAGTCGGGGTTGGTGTCTACCCCACCCCGGTGGTCAAAGTCCTATGACCTTTGGGGTGGAGGAGCTCTAGGGACCACCACGAACCGGCAGTTAATGGCTCTTAGAATCGCACCAAATGTTACAGTAGTATTTCGACCCAGAGTGGTACCTCCCAGTGGAGTGGGAACTGGGTATTTCCTTTTTGTGAACATTTGTAAAGTCCGTACCTTATTCAGGTTTCCTCAGGTTTTCCACTGGTGAGCTTATCCTGTTGCAAGGTAACACAGACATTATGTTACGTTTATATGTCTTATATACACATATAAAGCAAGTCATGATTTCGTTAAACTCTTCTTTACTGTGACATTTTAATCTATTTAAAAATTTTTTACCATGTTTGTATTTTTACAAACTTTCAGAATTAAAGTATAATTAAGATAAAACAAAATTAAACTTAATTCTAAGCTCTAATGTACTTGCTGTCAATTTCCTTGACCCATCTTCACCCTTTTCTAGCCTGCTCTTTCTGCCAGTCTGCCCAGACTCCTAATTTCGTGGCTGCTCTATATTCCCTGGTGGCTAAGACAGTAAAGAATCTGCCTGCAATGCTGGAGACCTGGGTTCGATCCCTGGGTTGGGAGGATCCCCTGGAGGAGGGCATACAACCTACTCCAGTATTGTTGCCTGGAGAATCCCATGCACAGAGAGCCTAGCGGGATACAGTCCATGGGGGTCACAAAGAGTCGGACATGACTGAGCAACTAGGTACTATAGTTAAGAACCTGGCTTTGGATGGCGGGAAAGGCATGATAGGATCCCGACATTACAAGTGACACAGAGAGAGTGGCCATTTTGGCTCACTCATTTATTGAAAGAGAATATTTAAAATCAGTTTGTAGGGGTGCGCATATCCTGCAATTAGCAACTGAATATACAGAAAAGGAGACTTTCTAGCAAAATGATGTCGCCCAACCAGTCCCCCCCCCCCTTTTTTAAGTGTAGGCATCACAATTTAAACACTCAGATATGAACTTAAAAGACATCAAATCTAGACTATAATTATTCTCTATGCAACTGAAACTGGAGTCTGCAAAAAGTGATCAGAGCTCCTACATCACACGCAATATACAAAAATGAACTCCAAATGGATATGGATGAAAGTTCGTTTGTAAGAGTAAAATGCAAATCTCTTAGGAGGAAACGAAGACATAAACCTGTGATTCTGACTGAAGGAATGGTTTCTTAGATACACCAAATGCACAATCATCCTAAATAAATAAATAAATTGGACTTCATCACAAATACATTGTTTTTGCTTGAAAGATTAAAAAAGTGAAAAGACAGCCAGCATAATAGTAAAAAAAATTTAGCAAATCATAATGCTATCTGATAAAGGAAGACTTACAATTCAAAACTAAAAAGACAAAAAATTTAATGGGCAAAGGATTTGAATTTGATAATTTACCCAAAACTGGCAAACAAATGGCCAATCACCACATGAAAGGATGCTCAGGATCATTAATTCTTAGAGAAGTGCAAATGAATGGCTTCATGAAATATGAATTCAGACTCAGTAGGAGGGCTATAATCAGAAAGACAATAACAAGTGTTAAGGAGGATGTGGAGAAATTGGAACCTTTCAAAACAGCTCATAGGAATGTAAAATAGTGTAGTCACTTAGGAAGAGTACCTAATTTTGGGAGTACCTAAAATTTTAAACCATGAAGTTACCCTATGTTCCCCTCTAGAGTTCTGTTCCTAAGTATGTAACCCAAAATAAATGAAAACACACATCTGCAAAAAGTTGTACATGAATTTGCATAGCAACCCTGCTATCATAGTCAGAAGTGGAAATAACCCAAATGTCTATCAACTGATGAATGGATAAGCAAAATATATGATATGGTGTAACTGTGCAAAAGAATAGCATTTGGTCATTAAAAGGAATGAAATATTGATTCATGCTACAAAATGGATGAACCCTGAATATATTAAGTGAAAGGCTGCATTCTTTTATGTGTACATTAAATGAATTGATCAAAATAGGCAAATCCATAACGTTGGAAAACTGATTAGTAATTGCCAGGAAATGAAAGAAAGAAAAAAATGTAGATGGACTGCTAATTGTTAAAGTGTTTCTTTACAGAATGATGAAATGTTCTGGATTTGGATAGTTGGGAGGGTTTTTAAAACATTGTGAATACATTAAAAAGCACTGAATTGTGCAATTTTTAAAAAATTTTTTTGTATGTGCATTATAAATTAATTTCTTTTTAATCCCAATTGAGGGACAGTCTACAAAATACCTGACTAGTAATCGCCATAACTGTCAAGAGCATCAAAAACAAAGGCTGAGAAACTTTCTGAGTCTTATCTTAACCAAGAAGAGCCTTGAGACAGGAGTACTAGATGTAATATATCATCCTGAATGAGATCTTGGACATCATGGAGAAACTGAAGACATCTGAATAAACCATAAACTTCTGTTAATAATAATGTACCAATATTGGTTCATTATTGTAATTAACCATACAAATGTAACATATTGATAATAGGGGAATATATGTATGAGATATAGGGGAACTATCTGTTCTACCTTGAAAATAATTATGTAAATATAAAAGTATTCTGAAGTTAAATTTGGTTAAGGGAATAAACCTGATCAGAAAATGACATGCAAAAATGTTCTAACATGGTCACCTAGAGAAGTAGTCTCACATACAAGGGAAGAAGGGAGATTTTCTACTGAAAAAAAAAAAAATCTCTCTAATTTGAAAGAGTTTTTTCTGTAATTTGAATTTATGAACTATATGAAGTAAAAAGTAAAGGGAACAGAAAAAGTTGTTCAAAGAAACTTGTCTGGCAAAAGACAATAAAGTTAAAAGGGAGAACAGAAGAGAACTCGTTTACTATATACTTAGATAATAAATTATCATTAATTCTGTATCATTAATGAATCATTAATTGTCATTAATTATCACTACAGCCAGAACGTATAGAAATCAATAAGGAAAAGGGAACCTCAAAGAAAAAAGTGCAAGGATGCCCAATCATTATGAAGTATGTTCCAGGTACTTTAACACTAGTTCAAATAACAACCATATGACAAATTTCAAATCTCCATCTCTTTTACAAGTTAGGAAATTGAGACACAGAACAGCAAAAATCCACACACAAAGTTATACAGCTCATAGGTGGTTGAGCTCAGATTCAAGCCCAGCACCCTGGCTCCAATACCCCGTGCTCTTAACCACTACTCTTAACCATCTGTAATGGCCTACCCGTCTTGTAGGGGTAATGGCTATGTTCATTATAATTTTAATTCCACAACCGATGTGCACAAATCCACATATGAGAACCTTAAGCTCAAGCAGAAAGCTGGATGAAAAGAGAAAACAACAGAAAAGCCTAAAAGTGCCCCCTTATTCTCCTTACTTAAGGCACTGGGAGGGAGGCCTGGCAAGCTGCAGTCCATGGGGTTGCAAAAAGTCGGACACGACTGAGTGACTGAACTGAACTGAGCTGAACTGAAGGGGATGACAGAGGATGAAATGGTTGGATGGCATCACCAATGCGATGGACATGAGTCTGAGTAGGCTCCAGGAGTTGGTGATGGACAGGGAAGCCTGGCGTGCTGCAGGGCGTAGGGTCACAGAGTCGGACACGTCTGAGTGACTGAACTGAACTGAAGGCACTGGGTGGCAGTCTTTCACTACAGGCACAGCTGGTTCACAAGAAGCTCAACAGGAGAGGGAAATCTTTGTGGCAGGACCCCTCCCCCACCTTGGGAACAGCAGGAGGGAGATTCTCCTACTAGCAGCCTTCTAGGAAAGTCCCAGGACCAACTCAGGAAGAGGCTGGTCAGGGGAAGAAAGTACCTACTTGTTCAGAAACAAAACACACACAATAAAAAGATACTTTTCCACCCACAGATTCTATATACATTCTCACTATGTCTCCAGATTTGGGGGCAAGAATTCTCTTGATGTGGTCAAACGACCACATCACATCCCACCTACAACTTATGCATTTTTTAATGGTTGGGGAATCAAAAGAAAGAATATTTTGTGATACAAAAATTATATGAAGTTCAAATTTCAGTATCCAGGAATAAAGTGAATGCAGAACATAGCTGAATAGAAAAACCCAGACTTTTCCCAAGTAAGGAAAAATAAAGGTCCCTTTAGCCTTACACAATTATCATCCTCACATAGAATATTTCACTTCTGACATTTCCATCACCAAATATGTGTTGGGTTTTCTCTAAACCAAGCAATTATCCATTATACCAGCTGAATGTCTTACAATTTAACTCAATTCTAATATTATCTACCTGGATATAGTGTCAGATAACACAGGTCAGAGCCCACAGCTCAGTTCTACAAGACTACTCCTACCCCGCGTCAGATGCCAAGTGCAAGGAATACTCGCCACGTTACCCGTAACTTCTGTGAACAAAGAATGTAGCCTGCTATAGCAGTAAACAAAGGAGGTTACCACCATCAAGCCATCACCCTCTGCAGCCACCCCCAGCTATGCACCCTGAGGGGATTCAGGATGTAGAAAAACAGGATGTTGACCCTATATGGTAAAGGTGCACATCAAAGGAATGATTTCAGTGAGCCCAGACTCTTGCATCTTCCCAAACATAGAAAAAGTGTTAAGTTCATTAACTTGAGATATCTGTTTTTTCTCTAATTAACAGCATACTTTTAATGTTCCTACTACCTGGCTGTTGGGTGGGACGTTGGTTGATTGTTTTTTGTAAAAGCTCCTAAATATCTTGGCTCCTTCTTTACCTCTGGGAAACAGTCCCTCAGGACTGAGGGGTTATCTCATGGGCTTCAGTCCTCAGAAAATCTGCCAAATAAAACTGAATTATCAACTTTTAGGTTGTGCTTTTTTTCCCCCAGTCAACACTTCTCTGC